TTCACAAAAAAATCACCCCTCAATTTGATTTTACCATGTTAATAAAATACATTTGAGAGAGATTTCCCACTTGCTCTTCATCCTCACCCTCTTCTTCCTGCAAATCTGCTCCAGTATAGTTTTTCTAATGGCAGCCACATATTGCACGTTGATGATCCCAAATATAAATGCATTGGATCTGTTCAGTTGTCAACCAAAACAGTATAAGAAATAACTGCAGTGTCCCTTAAAATGACCCACAATGCGTGCTATCCCGTTATATTTTGTTGCCTGCATTATCGCCATGCTGTTGAGCTACGCTGTATTTCTTACTCAGTCTCTGAAAATATTTCTAGGCTATATAAATATATAAATTATTTTATTATTTCAAATTATTTCTTTATTATATTCCGAAATGTCTACTTTGATTACATGGTTTTAATGTTTGACGGTATTTTCACGCTATTTATTATTGGGGTCAAGAAGACATTTTTGGACATAGGCCTATTGTGGAAAGTTGTTCATAGTTCAGCGCCTTTGTAGCTATCTGACAGCTGTAGACACGATAAATAATGCTATACTTAATACGAACAATCTAGTTCAGAAAAAAGGGTTATTCCATACGTTAATCCGTCGACTTTTCATAGCTTGTCTGCATGCTTTTGTGCGATTTGAAGGTTTTCCTCCTGTGGTTTCCAACTCACCATTAGGGGCCTAAATCTACAAATAACTACATATAAATGCATTTTTGCGAGACTAATGCATTCGCGTGAAGTCACTACAGTACCAAAAAGGTTCAATCATAGCCTTCTATCGTGAAGGTGACGCATTAATATGCCTAACAATAGATTTTGACACGTTTTTGCATCTCTGTATTTTGTATGCAGAGAAAAGAGAACAGACTTTTAAATGCGGATGAAAATGCCGAAAAATGTAATGCTGTTAAATCTGTCAATGAAGTGGCCCTTTGAGCCATCATATAGTAATGCAGGTCACCGCTGATGTCACCCGCGTTTTACCTTTGACCCATTGATATTTGTGTGTTTAGTGAATGGGCTGGGGTGGGGTTAGGAGGCTTCAAGCCGAGTTACAGGATTTGTCAGCTGTACAATACAATGCACTGGACCAAGGCTACAAAAATGAAGTAGCCTAAATTCCCGTCGCACTAAGTTGTGTGCCATACTAAAAAGTTGTGACTAAATTTAGGCTACTCCAGACTTGCATCAATTTAAGAATGGAAACTCTCAGGGCTTTCCTTCGTTAATAATAAAAGGAGAATCTAAGATTATTTAATTTGTAACGTAAATTATTTGAAGGGTGATGATTTTGTAATTGCTCATTAGTCTTGTATATTTATCGCTGTACCTTATGGCAAGGCCGCGGGAATTGTGAGGGGGGTTCATTCTCCCATTACAAGGATCAGTTTCAAAAGCAATTTGTGAAACTGGATAGATTGTGTTTGTCGCGACGTCACATTTCAGTTCTGGCTATAAATATCACCTCAAACCAGCTTCAGTGGCCAGTTGCATGGAACGCGGCACTCTGGAAATAGAGTAGCTATAAAGCAGAAGCCTGCAAATCGGATCGTGTGGGACCTTAGATCAAAAGACATATATTACTAGAACGGAGGACATTCTGCACAATAATCTCCATCACACTTAAAAAAAATTAAATAATAAAAATAAGGGTAATCTTACATCAATACGGTGACATACGTTGCTATAATGCATGTAGTGTATTTTTTAATCAAGGCATAGGCCTAACTTTATTTTGCACACGAGCCCAGACTGTCCAGCGTAGCCTACTGTAAAACTGCCTTTTAGTAGGATCAGCGGACGTAATTAAAGCTAGTAATTGCAGATTAGAGGTTTTGGGTCATTGGGGTTATTTGATAGGAGGTTGTTTTAAATGACGGGTAATTATTTAACATCACTCGTAGGCTATGGTGCAGGTTTTTCACCTGGGTTGAAAACCCAGACCTCAGTTTCAGAAACCACTGCAAGCATTTGGAAGCTACACCAACTTTTTTCCCCTCACTGTATGATGAATTATGGCAATGGCCCTCTGTGATTGATCGTTTTCCCTGTGTATAAGCGTGGCGTTGTTGAACGTTCAAGTTAATGTTGCTTCTGAAGCAAGTTATCGCAGCACGGGGTAACCTAAGCGGGTCAGAAGGTTCTCAATACAGCGAGTTCCATGGCCCTTATGCTTGTTTAGAAAAGCAAATCTATTAATAGGCCTAGCCAAGGTCGAAGTCATAGTCCACCGCTCACTGTTTGCAAATTTTTTTTTTTTTTTTTTTGGGTAGAGATTGTATCTCTCGAAAATATTTAAATAATTGAAACACAAGAGTTTTTCTTATTTTAATAATGTGTTTGTCACATGATTGAATTAAACGCATCCTTTAAAATCAGGCTAATTTAAGTAGCCTTGCCTACTTCGGTTCTCAAATGCCCTTGCATTTTTGCTCTTTACTGGGCACATGTCCTTTAAAATGTATTTAATCTTCGCAAGTCAAATAACGTTAACAAATACTAAAAAGATTCTAAGCCTGATCTATTTGGCGAAATATAATTTCTCTTCTTTAAATTCAGCTAATTGTCCAGCATTAAATGCAATTAAATGCACACCAGGCGCATTTAAATCGGCAATGCAAAATTAATAAATGGGAGCGAGCGGTAACGAGGGTGCACTGTCTTTTGAGGCACAACGGAGGGAGAAAGTGCGCCAAATTTGTTTGCAGCGGATCAAGGCTCACCGCCTTCACTGCACTTTCTTTATCTTAATTCCAACTTGAAAAGATATAATTATCTAGTTTGAACAGGGCTGCTATCAAATCCTTCTTTAGGCAGGGTAGGGAACAGCTCGAGTGGATTGTGGGCTCTGAGCCGCTCGGTGTTGCCCGAGATAGGAGTAATGAAGTTGTGGAGTCCGGAGATACAAAGGGCATTAACCTCATTAGCATGAAACCTTTTCTTCTAACTATTGTGGGACCCTTTCAGCCTTCTAATCCCTCTATTTCAAAGCTGGGTTTGTAATAAAGCTTTTAGGGGTTTTTCAAAGCTAATAGTATTCTCCGCAGATTTTTTTATTACCGTTATAGTCCAAAGACTGTTCAAAAATCCCCTTGTGTATGTGTAGCCCAATGACAATTTTAACCTTATCAAACTACGATTAAAAGTTTTGGGGACAACACGAAAACGCTCAGCAATGGTCTTTCTTGGGATTTCGGAATATTTTGTCACGCTTGCTAAATAAAATAATAGTAGGCTACTACTTATTTCATGCAATTTTATTTATAAAATGACGATCATTTAAGGATAATGTGCTTTTTAAATGGATGCCAAATAGCCTAGATGAATTGACGTATTTTACATACAAATATAAAATTCATATTTGCATTCTATAGTCTGTTATTCATAAAAAACAAAACCTGAGAACGAAGGCTAGATACATTCCAGCCGTTGCTGCCGACAAGATTTTAAACAAAGCTCCTATTTTGCGGCACATTGCAAACCTTCTCTTATCGCGTTGTGAGAGGTAGTCAGATTGTACTAAATTATGTCCAACCAGGCCCCCTTGGATCCACGGATTAACAGATTAAAGTGGACCACTGGGCAATGCATCCCCTTTCCCCCACATATTACTCGTATGATAATTGCCTAAACTGATTTGCACTTTCACAAAAGCTCGCAGGACTCTTTGTAGCTTGAACAGACCAGACGCTGCTCTTCTACCAATGGAAATAAAACTGGTTAATGCCAGTCTATCAGACTGAGCGGCAAATGAGGCAAGAAAAAAACAAGCACTTAGCTGTGGAAAAATCGAGCTCAAGACCGTTGTAAGCATTCTATTTGTGTTACATTTTAACCAGTCCGTTTCCCCTTTAGGCTATATGCTTTATACACTCAGATTAATTAGAAAGCTAGTAAAATATTCCATTGATAAAATAGTGATAATTACAATACCTCGCCTGTTTGTCCTGAAGGACAATGACACCAAGGGACCGAATCAAAAGAAGACAACTGCCAGTGCAATCCATACAATACTGTCCAATAATGACTTTCTAAAACAGGATGCATCCTATACCATTTACTATACCGGTCAAAAGTTTGATTTACGCCTCTTTTTGTAAAACAAAAAGGCTGTAATTTTATTCGGAGCAACATATTGATAAAATTTTATTGACAAAATATTGACAATTACATACTTCTTGGAAGTATACTTTGTGTTAAAATTGTAGCAAACTTAACACAAACACAAAATTATTTACATTCTTGTAAAAGACGATTTAACATAAACATTAGCTTTTAGTATCTCTATACATGGAATACGCTCAGTGCTTGAAGTTTTGTTGCCTAGGCGAACGTCAGTTCTTGCATTAATCCTTCGAGGCAACTCTTTAGAGGAGGGGCGAGTCCCGATCACATATTCGCACCAAGATTACGGAGTCATGGTAAAGCTTCATTTTTAAGGAATGTCATGGAGAATTTTTCATTAGAATTACTATTGTATGCGGTAAACTTGAATAAAGTTTTTATAATCTGGTTTAAAAATGTGTTTTACTTCTTAAAAACACTATAACGCAGCACTGCTACTTCATATTGTTTTCACAATCACTTTAACACGATAATCATAAATTCAAAGACTGCACACTGTTGTAAAAAAAAAAGAAAAAAGGAAGAAGCACACAACATTTCATTCCTCAGATTAAAAATAGAATCAAAACAAATTTACTCTGAAAAAAGGTCAAATTAATTCATTAACCTACCAAAAATTCATTGCTCTACCATGCAATTCAAGTTTTACAAAAACAGTTGTATATTTTGGTATCTTGATGTGGAAGGTTCACGTATTGAAAAAATAAAACGAGAGGAAAAAACCCTCAGAAGTGCAAATGTCCTATGCGCATTTGAGCTATGTGTTGTGATAGTGGTGATGCGGGTATGGGGGCTGGGGAAAAAGAAGGTCAAATTAATTAATGAACCTACCAAAAAAAAATGCATTGCTCTACCATGCAATTCAAGTTTTACAAAAACAGTTGTAGCTATATTTTGGTATCTTGATGTGGAAGGTTCACGTCTTGAAAAAATAAAACGAGAGGAAAAAAACCTCAGAAGTGCAAATGTCCTAGCGCATTTGAGCTATATTTTGTGATAGTTGTGAGGAGGTCGCGCGGGTAGTGTGGTGATGGGGGGCGGGGGGCTGCATGTAATACCTGTCAATCACCTTGCCTCGGCAACGTGAAAATTATTGACAGTTCCGTTGTAGTGACAGCAGTGCCACCAACAGGATCTCTCACCCTCAAGCTGCCGATCTCGAAGAATCAAAATGTGATATTGGCTTTACCCACTCCCTCTGTCAGTACACAGCAACCTTATCCGTGACATCTTCAAGCCACGCCGCTGTCCCGGGTTCAAACAGTTTAAGTCTTTTAATCGTCAGAGGTGACATCAATTTCCTCAGGGCTTCCTTGTTTTGTGGCCACTCTCCATCGGTTTATGTGATGAGTTCCTTTCTTTTTCTGTTGTGAATCCGAACCTTCCTCCTCCAGTTTCTGGCGCTTGAACTTCGTCCTTCTATTCTGAAACCAAACTTTTACCTGTGGCGAGGAAAAATGAAAATAATCAGCGTAAAATACACAAAGGCCTTTCGTTGGCCTCTGAATAAAGCAATTTAACAAAGAGAGTTGGCCTGACGGCAGGTATCACTAACGGGCCTTAAGAATAAATGGCTAGACGGACAAAGAACCGCCAGGTATCTCAGTCAATCTAGTCGCGAGACCACTGGTCGACTTTCATTTAGTGTCTTCGGTCTGCATAAATTAAAACAACATAAAGAATTTAAATGAGGTATTAAATACATATGACTGATAAGTGAGGATGAAATTAGGGAAGGGAAGACTGGCTGGCTTGGCTTTCCATTTAAAGTGCACCTGACCTTGCATCATCACGATCATGCCCTGCTGCTGCTTCAAACTCAAACTCAACTGTTGAGCGGACATTGCAGCATGTGAGTGTATAATAGTTTGATACCTGTGTAACTTCACTGACGTTGTCGCTTATTATCACGGATCAGTATGTTAGATGGCCTATTTACAATTCACCCCCTTATTATTACATTCCCGTAAATAAAACCTTTCACATTAGCACACATGGGTAAGGTCCAGTCTTGAGCTAATTCATCACCTTTATCATGCATATCATCCGTAAAGCTCACAGCTGACAACTTGGCAAGTGAGGCACATTTAATGTTCTTTCAGAGAGCTAATTGAAGCATTGAAGTGGCTCGTAGTCTATTTCTCTCTCTTGCTCTTCTGAAAGGCGGCGTTTAGAAAAGGGCCGGTGCTGTCACCGGGACAATAGACTCCGAGAAGGCCAATGAACGATACGCGCAAATACGATCTTAAATATGGTTAGGGAAATTCACTGATTCCGCCTCATTCTTTTAAGTGTCCATTTAAAACGGTTAACTGGTTAATTGCCAAACATTTTCCACAAGAGCCCTCTGCCCAAAACGGAATCGTTCAACCTCACCAAAAACCGGGGTGAATTGGAAATGGTGGATTTAACTCACTACAAATCATTACGCTTTTAGAACCATGCTTAGCCCTTTACGCGTGTAATTCCCAACAAAGCCGAACGCTAAACAAAAGAACACTTTCTGTTATGATCAGCTTGAAATCAAAATGTTGCCACATCTGTGCAAATAAGAAATATATACATATGTCACTAACGCCAATACTGATTGGGACTATATAGCCTACTGTCAAAGAGAACGGTTAAACGTTAGAAAACATTTACATAAATAATCTACATTTTAAAAGCTTTTATTGTTTATTGAATGATTCAGAACTACATTTTTGTTACGCAAACACCGCCTATAGGCTACGTTAACATTTAACGTACAGTCTAACCATAAGAGAACGAGCCTATTGATTTCAATAGCATTATTTAGGCCGTATTATATCCATAGAACCATACGCACATTGAATGAAGACAGATAACAACTTCTTACCTGAGTTTCTGTGAGGCCAAGGCTGTGAGCGAGCTGTTTTCGTTCCGCACCGACTACGTAATGATTTTTTTCGAAAGCATGTTCAAGCCGAAGTAGCTGTGATGGTGAAAAAGCTGTACGAATCCTTTTGGGCTTTCTTGCCAGTGCATTGTGCAATAGGAAGCTTTCCGGACTCGTTTCGTTTCCTGTAATGAAAATGGTGATAATTAAAACCCATCGTCTACCATAATATTAGTATCCTTTCTAAACGTAATTGTTAGACTACGTTCAATTTGTTCACACGAATTAATTGCGGGCTATAGGGCCTGAAGTTTAAAAACATTATATAAGCATGCAACATCTTACTAAAAATATAATCTACAAAATATCACAATTAACCGGTCTTCATAAATAGAAATAGGCCTATACATGTTGAAAGTTCTTTTTTTCTTCTTCTTCTTTTCATCTTTCACGTTCTCTGGCACAAGTTACTATCGCGATAGCTTTTCTATCCTATAGCTTTTCAGTAGCTAGCTAATTAAACTTTTGTTGCAAATTCAAATGTGAGACAAAACCAGGTTAATTTACATGTGATCATTCAAAATATGATGCCTACAATATAATTTTTCCTAAATTTGTAAATCAAATACACGGAGATACAGCACTGCTCTTTTTATTTTATAATATCCTCGAATTAATTCTATGGCTTTGAGTATCTTCGCCATGGTAAAGGTTTTCATTACGAGTGCTTCGATTAAAAACTGGCATGACAAATATTTCCCCATACTGAATATTATAAAAGTAAACAAAAAAAAAAGGAGAGAGATTTTTGCTATAGGCTACCATTTGTGCAATTTAGCTACGATGTATGTAATAATACGATTATATTACACATATTAACGTTTATGAATATTAGCGTTCGTTTTTAAGGGAAATGAAAGGTACATTTTACAACATTAAGATGTAAAGATATAATGCACTTTTAGATAAAGGCGAAATTCGAGATTATTTTTTTTTTGATTATTCAATTATTTCGTTGCTCTTAAGGTTTTTTCCTGGTAATGTAAATGCGTATTATTTGTAATAAAAGTTTTTTTAACAATCGATAAAAAGTTACACTGTAATCGATGGGCTTTTTTAGGCTAGCCTATAGGCTAATTCTTTTAAAAGGCGATGTAACCCGTTCACGCTAAATAAATATTTAAACCTATTAAAATAATTAATTTAAATGTATAAAACATCAAATACAAAAGTTACAAATACTTTACTGATGAGTTTTAAACCAGCTTAGTGTATATATATGGAATAACGCCAGGTTCTTTTCTTCCAGCAATTTACTGACAACCGTTGTATAGGCTAATACAACAGTAGCCTACCCTACTTCACAGCAAAAGTCTATAGTTTTCGATACAATAAAATGGTTATTTTTTCGATAGCATTAATTTCAGCATTTTAATATCTAGCACAAAAGTGGCATTTAGCTAATTATCAATTAAACTGCCGTGTCCTTGGGCCGTTTGGCCCTTTTTTCTCTGAACGACTGGTCAAAATATCTGGCGAATAAAATATTTTCCTGGAACTTACCTTGAAATCTGTGACCCAAGTATCTATATCTATGTATCAACCATGGATAAAAAGTTGAAGGGTCCCTTTGCTGGCTTGCGAAAAGAGGGTGCGGACTGTGCGGGGACGACAGTGGGTGAGCAGCCAAAGCATGAGGAGGAGGTACTGAATGGACTGGGACGGCGGAGTTGGGAGGATGTGAAACAGCCTCAGCGAACATCAAGTCCGGGTTCGAGTAGACGCCCCTGCCGCTGGAATGAAAGCCGTTTAAAAATGGGTGCATCTGGCTTGAGTTTGCATAGCTGAGAGCCGCTGGTCGTATGGGCTCCTCGGATCTCGACGCTGGCAAAGGATTATCCTTCGCTACCAAAGACTCTATGGTAAAACACCTCTTCGGTGTGGGTTGAAACATGGTTCACCAGTCAAGATTCCCCAGTTTAAGCGAAAACGGTACACGCGTTAGCACTAAAAAATACTCCACACCCAAGGCCAAAGTTTTGTCAGCAAGTTAGTGGCAACTAAAGAAAGGGTAAAAAAATTTTTGTCAAAAGCACACAGCTCAACACATCGTGAGAGAGGTGGCCGACTTCTCCAGACAATCCATGAATGTGATCGGTTCCTCACCAGTTGTGCTAGCGATTTGTTAGTTCATGAGCCTAATTAGCTCTGGAGTCACATAAACAGTTTCCTCTGAAGCCTGTAATGGCTTGGTGATTGGTCGCTGCCGCTCGCCTTAAGGTTGAGGGAAGAGTCTTTAAGTGCGTCAATACGAACGAGCGCGGAGAGGCGGATTCAAGCGAAACGGAACGGATTCGCCCAGAAACAGAGCTGTGGAGCAATTTACATACGCAGCTGATCCCATTGAGAGACTCGAGGTACTTCAGCATGAATTTGTGTTGCACACATAACGACGCTTTTACTCGCACCTCAGTGCTTAATCAGTGCACGTTTAGATGTAACTACACATGCTGATTTCTACTACTCGACTACAAAAGTAGAAATGCAGAGTGTAGTTTAAACAAATGACTGTAATCAATGAAATTCTGTCAGGAAACAATCCGGTCAAATGACAATCTTTGTAATGGCTTGGTGATTGGTCGCTGCCGCTCGCCTTAAGGTTGAGGGAAGAGTCTTTAAGTGCGTCAATACGAACGAGCGCGGAGAGGCGGATTCAAGCGAAACGGAACGGATTCGCCCAGAAACAGAGCTGTGGAGCAATTTACATACGCAGCTGATCCCATTGAGAGACTCGAGGTACTTCAGCATGAATTTGTGTTGCACACATAACGACGCTTTTACTCGTACCTCAGTGCTTAATCAGTGCACGTTTAGATGTAACTACACATGCTGATTTCTACTACTCGACTACAAAAGTAGAAATGCAGAGTGTAGTTTAAACAAATGACTGTAATCAATGAAATTCTGTCAGGAAACAATCCGGTCAAATGACAATCTTTGTGTATAGCAAACTTTTTGAAGGTTCTACTTTCTGGCAGTTCGGTGGGCCAGTATAACGCCCACCTCTATATTGTCTCTCCGCGTTTTCATTTTCTCCGATGGGTTTGTGATTAGTTTGGGATGAGAGACTCTCTTTCTCTATTGGCCAGGAGAAGGATGAGGTTTATTAGACAGACAATATTTTCAGCTCTGTTTGTTTGTCGTATGACTACAAGAGTCTATTACTCTCTAACTACTCATTAAATTAGCTGAGATCAATCCCATTATGGGTTACTAATGTGCATAGCCTAGGCTACTGCATCTCAAAAATTCAGGTATACACAGTTGTCAACGCGATCTCTTGGGTTTTAAACTCTGTTTTGAGGGGTCTGAGCTAGTTCGGTGACATTTTAATGACGTTTTATATTCTTTTTACTTCTACTCACTTTCAGATAAATCTCATTTCTAAATAAATCTCACAATTGCTTAACATTCACCACGTAATTATGGGTTGCAAATGAAGGCAATTTTGTCGGCCATATGGCTACACATAAAAAATAGAAACTGCAGAAATATTAGCAACATTTCTAACGATGGCTATAATAGTAATAAATAAATAAATACAACTATTATTCTGAATTTGTCCATGAGACAAACTCGCATTTGATGTAGGCTAATTGTAAAACGCAAGTGTGTTTTATGGAACTGCAGTGAACAAAAAAATAAATGTTTACAAAACAGGTCCACATTTATTACGTGAATTATTCACTTGAATAATTTTGCTTATAGCTCTCAACACCCTATATTTGTTAAAATGAATGAATAATGAACAGCTAGGCCTATTGGTTTAACGTACGAACGCAGCATGACAATATAAGTGGTGTACATTATTCATACTGCATTGCATAAAACAGGAATTTGTTTTAGAGATTATCCTTTCCTTTAGCTTTTTCTTGTGTTAACAAGAAGAGAGTTATGGAGTCATTAATTAATTAATTAATTAATTAATAATAATAATAATTATTATTATTACAAACCCGAATAGCTATATAAAGGCCTATATTATTATTATTACAAACCCGAATAGCTATAAAGGCCTATATTATTATTATTATTATTATTATTATTATTATTATTATTATTATTATTATGTCGGTCTATTTTGCTTGTGTTTAAATTAATAGCAAATACACTGTAGTGGACTCCGGACTGTCGAATTCAAATAGCCTACACTTGTTTTGTTTCTATAATCCTGCCACAACCCTTGCTCAAATATTCAAGTGATTTCTTGATTCCAGTAATAATTCTGGATCTTCCTGCGTATGACAGACATAGCCTACATGAACAATTATGCTATCATTTCGTAAGAGGCTATTTCTCGCCAGTGGAGTTAAGGTGACCCAGTTCACCCGCTTCGAATGTTATCACTGATCAGTTTTTACTCGTCTGCTCTTCCGTGCGGTAAATGCTTCGAAGTTGGCTACATTATGAGCTACATTTTAAATATTTGTTAGCGCGCGTTTGGTAGCCTACACATTTGGGCTCCAAATAGCTGCCGTGTACCCCGGATTTTTTCTTTAACTTCCTTTTTTTTCCCGTCCACAAATTATCAAGCCACTACATTTCGATTTTATATGAAGTAGGCTAGGCCTAATCGTTTGGTGAAAAGAAATAAAGCACACATTTGTTAAGATAACGGGAACAAAAGAAATTGTGTCAGAAGCCTCGTCTGACTTTTGTGTATTTGCTGTACAGGCTATTAAAATCAATTTAGATATTTTACATTATGAGTTTTGATCTGAAGAACAAAACAATGGAACACACTGAAGATCTGCTGCTCTTCGAAGGGGGTCAGAGTGCTAATTCGAGCTGCGCATGGAAGTGTAAGGATAGTGCGACACCCACTGGTATTTTTTACAAAATGCACTTTCCGCCAGTTCCTGGACGTTCACAGAAATGGAGCATGGTAATTGTCTCGCTTGTCTACAATGCTAATTAGCCTACTTTTTTTTTCTCCGTAAAATGACTCTACAGGACATTTACTGTTAGTGCATATTTACTACATTCTTCGATGTCATTCTTAAAACGACATCGAGAGCCTTCCTTCGTGGTCCATGAAAGCACCTGCAGTTATTGATATTTCTATAGTCTCCCGTAAACAAAGACTGACAAGCTCACGGCAAGGTTTGTCTGTATGACAAAAACATTACAATCCTGCCATTAATTTCACTCGATCAAAATCAACCCGCTTTGTGTAGCGTAAACATTTGCATCTCTTTGCGGGTATTAATACAAGCCCAAGAAACAGCAACAACAACAATAATAATAAATGATCAGTTCGTTAAATTCACAGGTCTCACCATTTAGGCCCTATACCGTTCATGTTTACAGCTTAGCCTATAGCGTATTATTTCAATTGATCTGTAACTCTCTTGAAATTAGTAGCTAGATCGTTCATTTGTACAGGCTATCAAAAGCTCTAAGACTTGATCAATAGCATACCAGCATATCAATTTAGTCCCCAAAGTGATTTTTCTTCGGTGTAAAGATTAAAAGAGAAAAAGTTCAAAAGTTGCCGGTGATGTAGAAGACAAAAGCGCATTGAGCTTTATTCGACTATTGATTTGATCCATCCTTCAAAAATGTGTCGGATACGCAATAATTACGTGGATGGCTTTTGAAAAGATGTTATGAAATGTAACTGACGCCCATGAACAGCTTTTTCGAAGAGCATTGCAATAGAAATGTCAACTGAATTATGTTATATCGCCAAACTAGGCTTCACAATCATGCACTCAGTGTGCAAGGCCTATCAATTTCAATACAAGAAATTACCTTTCAGAGCTGTTCTTTTCACGCCATGCATAACTTGTAAGGTGCGCAGACCTATCGAAAAAAAAAATATTCTGGCATTTTTAAGTCTTTCCACTAGTAAGCCAGCATTTATTGACAAAATAGCCTACTCAGTTATTGTTTTTGTAATTATGTGCATTTTGCTTTTGAATTAAATAAAACTGTCAACTGAATTATGTTATATCGCCAAACTAGGCTTCACAATCATGCACTCAGTGTGCAAGGCCTATCAATTTCAATACAAGAAATTACCTTTCAGAGCTGTTCTTTTCACGCCATGCATAACTTGTAAGGTGCGCAGACCTATCGAAAAAAAAATATTCTGGCATTTTTAAGTCTTTCCACTAGTAAGCCAGCATTTATTGACAAAATAGCCTACTCAGTTATTGTTTTTGTAATTATGTGCATTTTGCTTTTGAATTAAATAAAACACACACACACTAGTGAGCCAATAACGAATTCCGAAATTGCACTTGTTGCTAAAAATCAACATTTAGTTCAGCAATCCTATTAAAAATATCTAAACAAAAGTTATGTAAGTCTGAATGACGGAAACATTCGAAATGAAATTCGCTATCTTAAATTTAAGGAAAAACACCTACGAAATATGCTATTAAGCCTTTTAGCCCAGACAATTATAGTCGTTTTCATTCAAGAACGTTAAAAGCATTTGAAATGAATTGATCAGTTTTAATATATCTTTCGTACACAAGCCACATGCAAAATACACACATTAAGCCATATAAAATAATATCTTAGACCATAGGTTACAGTGCAACTGGAAGACTTAAAAGAAGCATTCAAGATTTGTCCTTTATCTAATGATCGTTTTCCTAACATCCGAGTTTTGCATTCCGTAATGGCCGTCATTTTTGTGTACTTTGCTATTATATAGCCTAAACTCTTCCTGCATCTAGCCTAATATGTTCGAAAAGAACTATAAACAATACGATTTAGATCTGCAAGACTAAACTTGTAACATGTTTAAAACATTATTTCCAAATCGGAGTTTATAAATTCCAGTTAAATGACTGGAACTAGACTTTTTTTGACAAATGGCACTGGGTGGCAGATGCACCGATTAGGCGATACGTGCCGTGTAGAGGTATATATCCCACATTCACAAGCAGCATCCCTCCAGCTCGAGGTCGGCGGAGTTTACACACGGTGACCCGTGGTCAAACTTCACAAAGTAGGTCTTGGCAAATATACGGGCCTAATCTAGTTTGGGAGTTCATAACCTCTTGCATGGGAATTTGAGGCTCCAATTGTGGGATTATTGGCCTTAATTGTGGATTTTCCACTAGAATGCAACAAAGACCGCTGACATAATTGTTTCTTTCTTCGAGTCTTTTCTGCATAATGATATAATGCGAGCAAAAGTTTATCACCCTAGCAGCGGGAACAATCACGATCCAAAGAAGT